ACAAAACCTTACGCCCTTTCTCGCAGCTCGCATATGCAAAGCAGTCGCGCTTTCTCGTACGGTCATTGGACCGCAAAAACACTCCCATGCGCTTTCCTCCTCTTTGTCGGCCGATCCTCGCTCTCCCTCGCACTTTTGGCATCCTTCACTTCTACCATTTTCTCCTGTCCATCGACAGTCCGCTCTTTCCCCTTAGTTTCACTGGCCGTTTTCTCAATCTTCTCAACCTCATGCCTCTTATCTCTCACATGACTCCTCAGATTATCACTCCTCGTGAACACGCTCTCGCAGCCTGGCCACTTGCACTTCCAGACTTTCTTGTCCCCTTTATCGTTTAGCGATGGGTGCTGCGTGCGTTTGTGGCGGCGCAGGTTAGAGGCTTTCCATTTCTCTTCGCCGCTGGGTATGTAGTCGCAGATGGAGCATTTGGGCTCTTTTGTTGAAGCTGGCGTGGGAGAGCTGTTGGGAGAGGGTGTTGGAGCTGGGGTTGGATCGAGAGTCACTGGTGTTGAGGTGGCTGTGGTATGGGATAGTCGCTGGGAAGGAGGAACAGGCAACCGGATATCCCGGGAGAGAGTAGCCGGAGCGGGAACAGAGAGACAGAGTATCTCTTCTACGTCCCCGTCAAACTCATCCGCACACGCAGGACCTGCTTCGTCTCGAGCAAACATTATCTCGCAGCCTACTGGTAGGTCGTCTTCTAGCTCGAGCTCGAAGTCTTTGTCATAGGCTTGATATTCACAGTATATCTCTTCTGGAAGCAGCTGCTTGACCAAAGCTATGTCTTTGATGTGGTATGCAGATCTCGCTTTTGCTGGGTCGCCGGCGTAAAGAGTGTTGCAGAGATGTGTCACGTGATCGAGGAAGCGTGTGTAGGCAATTTCGGATTGGGAAGCAAGCTGCATTACGTTAGCGGTGGCCAAAAACGGGTGACTTGTATTCAAATACCTTTCCAGCACACATGAGTTCCAGCTCCAACTCTCTGACGTTGGCGATGTGACCCCTGTTCAGACGTTTCTCGACTTTGACGACATCCTCAATGAACGCTTCAATAGACACGGTCTTGATCAGTTCGTCGATTACTTGGGTTTTTGCTCTGCAGGCGAAGAGTTGTTGGGAAAAATCGAAAGCTTGGGTCGTTTTCGAGGAATCCTTTTCAGGACCGAAACTTTCGAGGGCGTCAAGGAAGTGTGTACAGGCTAAGAATAGCCTGTTCTCTTTATCTCCTTGGGAAAAAAGTTGCGGTAAGGTCTTCTCCTTCAACGAATCTACTGGCTGCCAAATAGCTTTTGCAATTTCTGCGTAACTGTTCCTTTGTCTCTCGGAACCCAGATCCTCCACCCAAGATAGCGAATCTTGGAACCATTCCTGGGTATGCACTTTGATCTCGTCATGTTCGATTACAATAGCGAACGCGTAAGCAATATGTGTAAATGCAAATGCTTGTACGATGGCAGTGGGGTTTCGTCCTTCAATGATCCCTGCCAGTGCTTCGAGGCCGATGGAAACCATAGATATTCTGGACATCGCGAGTAACTCCATGGTGATGGGCGTGGATGGCATTTGAAGAAGCATTTCTTTGGTGTGGCTGATATGTGCGTCCAAGATCTCGGAAAATGCTTGCACTAGAGTTGAAGCGTTGGACCAGTGGGGGGATTGGAGCTTTGGCTTCTTTGTGCTGGGACACCTGCTTGGGGAATGGTTGCTGCTAACAGATCCCACAGCACTTTTTATTCCCTTCGAAGGCATGGAAGCTGATTGTGGCGCTGCTCCGCCCTGCCCAATTTCTTCAGTGGAGTCTCGAAATCGTTTCGTACCTCTGGGCTCATTAAAGCTTAAGTTGAGCTCGAAGTCAGCCGTTGAAGAGCTTCTCATCGAGGAGACAATTGTTCCACTCGTATAACCAGAATCGTTGGTATGGAAAGACCTTCCGCTTCCTTCGGTATCGGTCGGCGACACGTTCTGAAAGTTTGAGGCGAAGCGGCTAGGAGCCAAAATAGGTGAGACGACGGTCGCTGCCATAGGCGCATCAACCAAGCCAGCAAAAGGATACATCTGAGATTCATCTTGTCTTTGACTAGGTTCCAATGTCTGGGTATCAAGAGGAGGCAGCATAGTCTCGGATCGCCTTGAGAGTTTGGGGGCAGGATTGCTGGTTATTGAAGGTCCTTCGGCCCCAAGCCAATTGTCTTGCGGTGTCGAATAGGCTGGAGTCAACCAATTTTCAGGTCCAGCACTGAGTTCTAAGGGATAGCTCGACCCACTCATCTCAGCTATCTGCGTATCTGGAAGCTCAAGTGAACCGGTCCAGTCACGAGCCCTGGTGCTAGAGGATGCGTTTGGTGGTTCGCCCCAATCATTAACGGGCCCTGCATCAAATATCTCTGGATACTCAGGTTCATCCAATGACTTTGGATCTGAATACTTGGCGATGGCCATGTCAGGCTCGGGTGTCGGTACATGGGCTTGTGGTCGATGATGTTTGGTCCCTAGTTTTGAAAATATCCTTTTCGCTACAGAGGTCAATCTGTCTGTTCGAGATGGAACCCCTTGGCATCTCTTGCACTGGAATTTACCCACGCGCTCAGGCCGTTGACAGTGGAAACACCAGTAGAGGCCTTTTGATAAATGCTCACATTGCCATACGTGCTGGAGCATTGTTTCTTGGTCACGGAAGACTGTGCGGCACCATAACAGAGGGCATGTCCTTCTTTCATCCTCGGTAATAGCTTCATCGGTGAACTTCCGGGTATATGCGACCCAGGCCAGAAACCTCAGATGCGATGACTTGTGCTTGGGGAATTTGCGAAGACTGCGTGTTGTATTAGTACCATACTTCTTGTTGACTCTCAATAACCTACACGCAAGATTCGTGCAGGGCATAGTCTGTCGCATCGATGTATGGTGGCGACGGCGACGACGACCCTGAATCGCATGACTCTGTAGAACTACGACATATTCCAGTCGCAAGATCTGGTTCCACCCTCCTCACAATAAGTTGATCTTCCCCGCCGCGTATGAAGGATTTGGTGCTCCGACTTCTTTTACTTAGGAATGACATCGTGACTTGTCCACTTTACTATGCAATACGCTCAGAAATGCGGTACGCTGCAGTAGACGAGTAAATTGAGACGAAATTGACAGAGCGATTGTCCCATATTGCCACGACAGCATGTATAAGTCAGGAAACAATTGCAATCAATTCCTAAAGTCGCAATGCTCCACGCTGTCAGGACTTCTCCAGGACTCTCAACGGTGCCGCTTAGCTCGTGCAGGTAGTGGAGTAGGGTGTTGTGACCCAGCCTTGCTCACTCACCGAGTTGGATGAAACGCGCGGGGGCGAAATCGTAAGAGCTGTTAATTAAGAGAGAAGGCCAGACAATTGAATTCAAGAGAGCGGCATATGTTTTTCCCTTGATTAATCGCGGTCAGCGCCGCTGGTTGCCTTGCATCGCCTCGCCAATCCAACCCCTGGGCCTGGTCCACTCGAGGCGGACTGCCAGGCTGACCGACGAAAACTTCGGCCATAGATGAGGTAGGAATCGAAAGCGTAATATTGCGTATAAGATAATGCCCCATTATAGGGCTGAGATGTTCTGCATGACAAGGAGAATGGTGCCACTCGATATCTTAGGATTGAGATACCGCGGGGTAATATCTCTGTATTTCCCGGTCGAGTCCTGTCCTCGAGAAAATTCCCCTTTCACCCTTGGGAGCATTCAGAGTTGCCTAATTGAAAAGATCCATAGTGATTGGAGGCACAAACAAATGATTCGGTCATTATTGGGGTCGCGGTGCTGCTAAGATGTATGCAAGAAAGGCGCCCAGAGTTGGGGGTTGTCGGGTTGTCATGTCTTGGTGCTCTGCTGCTCTGCTGCTCTACTCTATTACAGTATTGCAAAGAGTGGTCCTCGAGGCGATTTTAAACCCCACAGGTTTCAGGGACGAAGGTTAAGATGCCGACCGAAGATCAATGGTACGAAGTACTCCGAGTCCGTACCTCTCCCGGGACCAGACCTCGGAAAGCCCGCCTGTGCTGCAGCAATTTTTCCAGGACTCCACGAAGCGCCGCAATGATTTTATGCAGGACTTCAGGACTCAGTTGGCTTCTGAGGCTGTAAGTGGTTGATTGATATGAGGAAGTGGGCATTGCGGCGTAGTTGAGATGGTTCGCAATATGCTCAGCCACAACAGGAACGTACGGAGTATGCAGGCCACCAGCCACTCTGAAGTGAGGTGAGATATATTCCGTAATCTTACTCGCTTCAAGGTCCATTGAACTTTGCAAAATCTACCTACGGAGCAAGCTTTCTAACTCCTTGCTCTAAATCTGACTTGTAATTATGAAATTACAAGCTACGGGTCTAAGTAATATGGGCAAAAGGGGGATCTCGCTTAATTTGCGCGCAAAATATCCCCCTTTTCCATCCAAGCCGATGAGGACCATTGCTCTTATTTACACCCATTCAATTTGCTTAAGACCATTGACATTATTTCTTCCAAGCATGGACCTCGAGTAACGCCTTGAAAGTCATGTCCTTGCTCCAGATCTTGACAATCTTGTCTGTAAGGCACACAAGGGAATATAAATAAGAGAATCAAGAAGCAAAAATAAAGTTGTAGTATATGTAAAAGCTCTAGAGACTATCTTCTGTCATGTCATGTATAGAGTTACAATTCAATCGACCGAAGTGAGAGACAAAGCAAATAGGGGGGGCTGAAAATAAGCGAGAGCGTGCGTCATTTTGCAGAAGAAAGTGTTGATGCCTGGGTTCGCAGATTTCGGTGGCCGGGATTTGTCAAAGAACCGGGAGTCAGGAGAAAGTAAGCAGCGAACAACACAACCACCAGCACCACCACCAGAGCATCTGATGACGCCGACTACATGATATCGACAACTCGAAACGACCGACGACGACTATTGCGTCTTTACGGTGTTTGCCATCCTCAACTCAACTTCAATTCCCCCTGTCCTTTGCGCACGCTACGTGGCATAACAAATGCACGCCATACGGCAGAAATGTCGCCCGAAGCACCAGGTCCTCATTCTGAAGTGCTACCCGCAGACTACCAAAGGCGCGGTTGATGTGAAGCCAAACTCCAGCGAGCTGAGCTATCTCCTATACTACGCGACGACACGCCGGAGCAAGGTGCAAAAGGTTGGCGCATTCTTAGAGAAGAAGACCGCCAGCGACATATGGCGACAACGAATTGGGTACGTGAGGAGGGACATCATTGTGCGCTTTGTGTAAGGTCTAGAAAACAATGCTAATATAATCCTCAGAAATGTCCAAGTCACACTCCAGATCCTCGCGGCCTTGATCGAGAAGGCCCCGAGAGATCTGCCCCTATACGCTCCCTATGTCCTTCGAATTCTCATCCTTATCCTGCGATCCCGCGATATTACTATGGTCGAATCCTCCATACCAACATTTGAAGCCTTCTGCGAGCATCATGACGGAGCATCTCTTTCTGCTGATCAAGAATATTTACACCAATACGTGGAAATTGTGAAAATGTATGCATCCTTCGCTTCAAAGACATCGCCAGCAGAGAAGGTCCCCACGAGTGCCCCTGTGGCTATGAGATGGAGAAACGTGGGTTTGCAGGCAATCAAAAGTATAGCATCATCTGAAGCTTTGGCATCCCTCCCTGGAAGACAATTGAATGTAACAGTTCCCATGCTGCTGGAAAACATCTGGACGGACAACGAGGATTTCATTGAGGTTTTGGAGCATAGGGCACAGCTGGAAGAGAAAGCTGATACCGAGAATTTGCTGCGAAGAAGGACCAGTAATGCGACTGTACGGACTGCTGATACATCGGGGGACGCGGATGTCACGCTCTCAGCGACTACGGCTGATGCAGATAAACTTGCGGAAGAACGTACTGGTATTTTGGCTATGGAATGCCTAAAGCAGATATTCGAGGTGAATAATAGGCCGCAAATACACGAGGCGACAATTGCGACTTTGGCGTTCATTGCTGAAAGAGTTGCGCAACGAGGTGCGGTGACAGACGAAAAGCCTAAGGGAGATCGATGTGTGGGACTGGCAACAAAAATATTCGATAGGATTGCTCAATGGACCCCTGTGCAAGATCGCTATGTAATTCTGGTCACAGCAATGGAGGTTTTGGTGCGGGGCCAGTTGGTTGACGAAAATCTGCAACAGCAATTGGTTTTGGCTACAATGGTGGACTCGCTTCTAAAATCGGAAATCAACCTAATTGGGCTGAGCGTGATGGATGTTTTACTTGGGCTGATCAACCACGTGCTGGGAGTTCTTCAGTTAGGGGGGGTAGAGCCGCATCTACCAGAAAATGTGTCTGGTGCAGATTTATCACCTGCCGATACCAGCGCATATCCCCAGACTGCATCAGTGCCAACCAACGTTAGACGAGACCTGTTAGAGAGGCTACAGCAATGCATAGGGGACCTGGCCACACATGTCTATTATGCGGATCAAATATCCGACATGGTCTCTGCCATCCTCTTGAGATTGAAGCCTACACCTACCTCCAGTCTCCCTAATACCGCTGCAGCCATAGAAAACCCGAATCTTGCATCGGCTACAGTCATTTCAGCTGGGGATTTGACTGAGGATTTGAATACAGATGGATTCTTCTCATTCGGTACAGCTAAGATCAAAGGACTTGAAGCAATCAAGGCTATTCTTCTGGTTGCTAGTCATCGGAAGGCCGTTATTGGTGGCGCAAGTCTTGGTAGGCATCGAGTTCCCGTAAAGGTCTGGGAAGGGACACAGTGGCTTCTCCGAGATAGTGATGGAAAAGTTAGGATGGCATACGTCGATGCACTCTCGACTTGGCTCGATACGGAGATTACCCGTGCAGATCTTCGTGTTTTTGAAGAGAAGCCAAAGAGCTCTGCAAAACCAGGTCGTAACGATCAGGCCACCAACCTGACAAAACGCGCCGTTTCGAACGCCTCGCAGAGAGAAAAGCCCACTAAAGTCTCGAAGACCACTTTTTTGCAATTGCTAAATTTAGCCATCTACGAAAATGCCCTCCAATATGTGGATAGCGAGACGGATATCGTACTTTTGCACCTGCTACTTGCCAAACTGGTGGAGAAACTGGGCGTCAATGCTGTCAAGAATGGTCTCCCTATGATCTTCCGTTTACAAGAAGATATTCTCGAGGCTGAAACGCCTATTGCTAAGATTCGAATGGGCAGTCTTTGCCATGGATACTTCTGGCTACTAAGCGTTATGTTCAATTTTGAGTCTTCACCAACTGGCCAAGCAATACAGAATGAGATACATCGACGGCGGAGCAAGATGTTCTGGGTTGATCGAATTCGTGTACCACCCATCCCTCTTCACCAGATTGGCACGCCGGGTACAACCACACAACACCAAGCTCTGCCATTGGAAGAGCTGGAATCAGAATCTTTAACACCGTTCGACGACCGTTTCCAGATGATGAAGCTCATCTCGTTGTCTTATAAAGAAGCTCTTGTATCACCCCCAACGAGTCCTCCTCTCTCGCCTGGACGCAGTTTTTCACAGGGGATGATAAGTCACGCACCCAGCGCCGATCTGTCCATGCCCGAGGTAATCAAGGATCAAATGATGTCAGATTGGACAAGGGATGGAGTGATTGTGCTGGTTCAAAACGGCAGCAAATCTGTTTCGCTTAACGGTTCAAAGTCTGGCACGAATGTGACTGGTCACCAGAACTTCCTTGCTGTTAATGGGATGAATACTGGGGGCTCGAACAGCGGCTCTCAATCTCCTCAGGGCCACCACATGCATCGCAACACACCCAATTTGACCTACGGTTTGGTGGGAGGTCTTGGTGCTCTGGCAAAACTTCGTAAAAGCAGTGTCCACTCACCATCACCAGCGAGCGACTCGAGTCGCAACTCCGTGACTCGAGTAGACCAACTGAAACGAGTCCTTACCGGACAAGCTGACGGCCCAAGAACGAAAACTGGACGCGCACATAGCGATGCTAGCAGCGAGAGCATGGTCAGCTACGACTTCACGGGATCCGAAATATCCTTCAGCCCAGGCCAACAAAACGTCTCGCAAATGGAACGATCAGTATCTCTACGCGAATCGAACGAGCGATCACGCTCGAAATCTCATGACCGGGTTGTTTCACAGAGCGAAAACAGACGTCTTCTGACATCTAACCCCGTACCATCGCTGAAGGATGAGAATGTAGCGTTCGAGGAAGAAGATCCAAACGCCGTGCCTCCCGTACCACCTCTTCCATCTTCCTTGGTGGGCGAAAGCACATCAGTTCACGACCACGCCCTTCCCGACTCAACGCAAAAAAGCCGTAGCGCGAAGCGCAACACACCATGGGGCGATGATGCACTGCTTGTAGATCTAGAAAGTCTATTGAATGGGATTGATACGAGTGGGGAACAGAAGGGTAATTTGGTGACGAAACCGCCCTATTGATTTGGTTGAACGTGATGGATTGATGATAGACCCTTGGAGCGGGTTGTTTCTTGAAAATATGTATTACTACTATAGTAGATGATAGGCAAGCTTTGGCGCTATGGTGAGGTATTTTAGAGCGAACCCCTTTGCACATATCAAATGAAAGCGCCTGTCTTTGTCCAAGATCCGGACATTAATCGATCAACATGTGCCAAGTTAGCCTTCGAGTAAACATCATCTCCTACCGTCTCTCGTTAGGCGAGGCCTTCTGATTCCAAGTCCAAGCTTAAAGTCAAGCTTTTTCCTTTGCCCCTTGTACATGAAGCTTATTTGGCCTGGGACAGTGGGACGACGTGTAACCGAGTTGACTTGAGTCCAGGCTCTCTTCACCTGTCGACTGACTTATGGCCCATCCGCAATATGCGTATCCATGCTTTCCTGGACGCAGCTTAGGCCTTTTATACATCCCGTGTGTCACAGATGTCGTATCAAAAGAGGAGCGATTCTTTTAGCTACAGTAGCTTGTCAGTAAGACATTCCGGGGATCGGCATTTGTTCCGTCGAGTCGTGGCGTCCGCTAAGCTTCCCCAGCTGTTCTACGCAGTAATCGTCCACTTATCGTTTCATGTGAACGATAAGTGGACAATTAGCCCCCCTACTCGGTACGAAGGTATAGACTTCTCACGTAAAGGTCTTGTCCGATCATAGGTAGGGATTTATGTAGATGCTAAGCAGATCCTGATTCGACCACTAAATCCAATAGACTTTAACTAGTAAAGTCAAAGTATCTATAATACACAGCCTAATTGCAGGGAGTGTCGCTGATTTAACGTTTACAAATACATACTTCGTACTACTGGAAGGCACAGGCGGATTATGGCGGATTTTGATGCGGCACGTGACTTCATTCTGACAGTTTTGTCCCGCACTTTGATTTTGCTAGTTAGACTTTGATCCGTTGCTATCGAGCGGTCTATGAGACAGGAATCCAAGCCACCCTATGATACTTGAAAGAAAGACGTTTGAGTGGGATCTATCGAAAGCCCACACGGTCCACGTCCACTACGATCCGCCTGTCCCAAAGATCAGACCTTTGGCATGGATCATTGCAGATTAATAATGACTTTTGCATGGATAGATACCACGGACCTGGCGATCGCGTGCGGGTCATCACTTACGCACTCCGTACTGTACGTGATACGGAGGCGCATCATAACTTGAACCACATATTACTCGCCTTGATTTTTAAGTCTGAAGCCCCTCTATAGATCCACTACTTAGCGTAGATTGCTACAATCCTATAGATCTAACTAGCTCTTTTACCCTAGTATAGGTTCTTAAAACCATAGAATAAACCAATTTTAAAGTGAGTTCTAACCTCTTAGAAGCCTGTAATTATTAGATCTGAGATCTCTAGTGCAGTGTATACATTTATGGGTACAATTCAGGTGGGGCTATCGGAGTTAAAAAAAGGCAAGTGGACACTACCTACTCCTTGTAATGATTGTTGCTTCTGTATCAGGCAACTTACGATGCAACGAATCACGGGCCCAATCATAACCAAAGCGCCCCGTTCATAGTTGATATCCAAAGTTCTAACTTGTAATGGTCGAGCTACAGTGATGGCCCGCCATAACCAGTCTCATTGAAGAGAAGTGATCTATGCCCCTTGATGGGATGCTCGCAAGATACATAAGTATGTTTAGGAATCCCCGATCCTAATATCCGGATGATTGGGTAAACTACTCGGCAGATTCTGGAAGTCCTAAGACTGTAGATGAGCTCGTCTGGGTAAGGATACTGGTGACACAGACCTGAAAAGGGGGACCCTGAAGTAGTCTTGAAAGCCACGTCGGCCCTCTTTAGTGCTGTCTACTAGTGGGGGGGGGGGCAATTTCTGGGGAATCGGAGATAAATGACAGCTGGCCTTGGGCCTCGAGGCCTGTCTAGTCTGAATGTACACTAGCGAGGGCCAGCTTACGGCGGGAGAGCCCTCGGCTTAGAACCGCGGCACCATAGGCTAGCAGGCCTGGACCTGTTGTTCAAAGTTAATTAAAATAGCCAACCTCGCAACAGCCAAATAATAAGTTGTCTACTTGTATAATATGGCATGACTCCCCTGTCTTAATTATTGGCTAATTCAAGTATTACATGAATATAATGTTTTAACGTGGTTCTTATACAGCCCTGACTAGCGCCTATGCCCCTAGGTATATGTAACCACCAACCCTATATGCTAGGTCCTAATCTGTGACAAATCTGCTAAAGTGTGGAGATTATAGTAACAGTTTATAAAGTGAATTTTCAATTAATTGTAGCCCTCTAGTTGATTATGCGATAATATATCTTCCTCCCACTACTCGCAAAAACCGACTTGAAATCTTGAGGAGTTAACAAGTCCTTCTAAGCGGCGGAATAGACTATAGCCAACGTATCAGAGATTGGGCCAGTTTGTCTCTCTATGCTATCCTTACTCGAGTATCTTGCAGATTCTCAATAGAAGTAAGAATATTATCTTTCGTACAATAGATGAAGTTTCTTGGTCCCGAGCCAATGTTTATTAGCGGGCTTTACTGTGGTAAAAAAGAAAAACAAAAAGCTTGGTCAGTTCAGGCAAGAACTTACCTTATCCAGCTTTGATAGGCGTACTAAGCATACGAAGGGGCGGCAGAGATTCGTCTGAAAAGCGACGACTATTCTGGATCGACGAATAGGAGACGCTTTCATCAAAATAGTAAAAAGAAGTAAAGCCGGGTCGGGTTACTAATGACTGTCCCCGCCGGTATCTTACGAGTAGCGCAAGTTCTGCCCATCCTTTGTAATTCATCCCGCTTTGACAATCACCAGAGCTAAGAGCTAAAACCACTTGCAATGCGAATGAGTGCAAATAATAACGGGCTGACTATATTCATCCCGCTTTCAGCAGTATGGTTCTAAATTACTGTACTCTACATAGTATGTATGCACGTCCCAATGGAGTGGTGCCGGTATCTTTTACTCTGCCCCCCTGGCCCAATCCTAAAGTTACTTAAAGGCCTGTGGGGATCCTTAATTAATCATGCACCGTTTTCTATCTTTTTGCGATTTCCTTGATCTACTTCTGTATATTATTCGTGCTATTGTGAGTTGCAGAGATGCAGGATCGGGCGCAACAGCTACTAGCGGTGACAATCACGCTTCTCGTCACTGCGTGGGTGACGGTCAGTTTGAGATGCTTCGTGCGTTTAAAGCTAGTTAAGGCTTTTGGGATTGATGATTATCTGATAGTCGTTTCACTGGTAAGTGAACACCCGCTAAGAAAGACACATACCACAGCTGACGGGTAGTTCGTAGCTTATCTTCACTTGCTTCTGTGGCTCTCAGTTAACGGGTATTCACTATGGCTTGGGACAACACAATAGGGATCTCACTGCCCCAAATATCATACAAGCGCAAAAGGTCCGTCCGAATATATACCCATTCCTCGGCGTTTTGTGAGATTCTGATCAGGACCATATAGTACCGATATCTCTCCGAATTATTCTACGTCCTTGACACGGCATTTATCAAGGCTTCGGTTGGGTTCCTCCTCTTACGCATAATGCTTAACGCTGCGAGCTACTACCGAGCTACTATAATCGTCTCTATGGCGATCATGACCGTCTGGACACTTGTCATCTGGTTCTACGTCCTCTTTCAATGTCGACCTATCAGTTATGCATGGGATATGTCTTCTGGAAAGGGAAAATGTATAACCTACGACGGAATTTCGAAAGCCACGGTATGTCTATTCTCATACAGAAATGCTATTGCCCTCTATTTATTGAAATTAAGGAGTCTGAATACTTTTTTGGTAAATTAGAGATTGTCTCCTAAGACAATCCTAAACTTCGCGGCTCTTGCTAATCATTCGCTTTTTTACTATGCTAATTTATTTAATTAGTATTCATTTTCGGCGATGGATATATTGTTCGATTGGCTCTTCGCACTATTACCTATACCAATGCTCTGGGACGTCAAACTGACAATCCAAATGAAAGCATCGCTATTTGCAATATTGGGATTGGGAGTTTTGTAAGTCCTTAGTTGTTGAATCTAGTACGCGAACTAATGCAGTCAGCGCAAGTATCTCAACCATTATTCGTCTGAAGTACACGACGGCATTTAACGATTCAGACGATATTCTCTGTATGAAAATATCACTCCCCTCTTCCCTTTATTTCATTTCCTAAGACACCTTAGCTAACCTCCTCCCTTCCCATAGATTCCATCGAGCAAGCCGAACTTTGGACCTTGACTGAAATGGGCATCGGAATATTCACAGCCTCGTTGGCGACACTCCGGCCCCTAGTCGGACACTTCCGTATCCGCGGATTTTCTTCCGGCTCTCGGGACCGTTCTAATAGACCTACGGCGCGCAGCGGATATTTCCAGAGTTACGATTTGGGATATATACAGAATACGGCGAATGCGGGGAAGACGACAACGACGACACATAGGCGGACAATGAGTGACGGGCATACAAGTGTGGAGAGTATCCTTGATCATGGGAAAGGGAACATTAGTAAGCGTACGGACGTTGAGGTTACTTATGAGGCCAGGGATTTGGAGGCGGCAACGTGATAGCTTTTGTGTATTTATATTCTTGATGCACCTTCATATTACAGTCATTTCCTAGAACTAGATACTTATATATTTTAATTACTTGATCTAGGGACTTTTGATTAGATCAGACACTCTAAATTTATTAAATGTAATTTTATCCTAACCCCTTGATCCCCAATTTGATCCTGTTCCAAGTTTCCAAGAGGAGCCTCGCTTATCTAAGGGGCTCAGGGTCACGCCACGATACTACGGCTATTATGTGGAATGTGTATATGGGCTATATGTATGCCTAAAACTTAAACTATACAAGACTATGATTCAACCCATATTTCTTAATCGAGTCCTTGTAGGTCGGGCCTCGTAAAGAACTTCCAAATAATGACTAGCTATGCCACGTGATTTGCCCCTCTCTGAGTTTGCTTATTGATTTTTGATACCCTAAGCCGCCTAGCATATCATGGCTGGTGCCGCCTTTCTTTTCTAGTATAAGACTTCTCTAAGTAATAGCAACTTTAAATAGAGAAGGCCGTAAAACACCATAGGAGTTATGGCTATGAGCTATCCATCCTCTGGTATCTAAAGTTAGAACAAATTGACTTTATTTCTCTATCTGCTTGTCGGAAGGCAAGATATTATTTTGACTGCTTATATAATAATCAAACACAAGATATAGAAACGGATAATTCAACAAGCGCCTGCGAAGCCAAATCCACATCGGAATGCCTGCAGGCTAAATGAGTAGCGAACCGGATCGGAACTCCTTCGCTCACGGATTTGCCATTAATACAATGCTTTGGCTCATGACATACAAATATGTTGAGATCTTTGGAACTGTTTCCATGCAACTTCTAGAAAGGGGGCTATCCCGTAAATCATCGAATGGCTTCTGTAATTTAACTGTCACACTCCTGCTACGCACCTATACCTGTTATATCTTGATTGAAAGGCGACAAATGCAGTAAGTTAAGTTATGATTAGTATAACGGTTAGCTAAAAGAAAGCCGCAAGTAGCAAGTTTATAACTTAAATATAGTACAACGCCATCCATCAACATTTTGGAAGTCGAACGTGTGATCGTGCACTTCAGCCCTATCAAGATTATCGAAAGCTCTCGACCTCTTTATGAAAGTAATGCATACTTGCAAATGACACTTCACAGGTATCTTACCTCCTTGACTTGAATGGTGACTGCTCCTTGATGTCTGAACATTCTGTCCCTAAATTGTCACAGCGTATACTTCACCTGTCTTTGTCTAATGCTCCCCCAAAGACTTTATCATTTCTGTCTATCTATACGGGAAATTTGCCTCATCTTGCCTAAACAATGACCAGGACAGGCTGGGAGCAAGATATTGAATCCTTAAAAGCTACAGCGATGATTCTGGAGCGCCGAAGAAATTGCGCAAAAAAACAAACAAAACGTGCTAACGGTAAACACAAGAAAGCGTACCAGCAATTGAACTTAGTGCCTACTAAGGTGGCTCACTGCAGTTTCGAAAGTTGAACAATATATGCTTTAGCTGAGCGCCATCTCTCATTCGCCGTCTTTGGTATCTTCCCCACCACAAATTCCAAAACGCCTTGAACAAATCAATGACACCAGATGAATGCCCACAATAAATACGACCGTGTCCCTTTTTCCCATTCATAAAATGCAGCTTAGCTTCGAACCAGCCTTTTTTTTATCAGTTCCACCCGAAATCCTATTCTGCGTACCCAACCTATTCATCTCAACATCAATGCCCGCCTTCTTCAAATACCCAAAGCGCTCATCAATCTCAATCACCTCAAATTGTGATTTATTTGGCGCACTTCTGTTTCTAGAATGCCCAAATGTAGTAAGTTCGGACCGTCCGGTCGTTTGTTTTCGTAGGGATGAACTGAAGACGGAAGGAGCAACTACGGCGAGGAGGGTGCGCGTCATGGGTAGATTGGCGGCGACGATACTGAGTAGGGGCTCAATGGTGCCCCAGAGTAAAGACATGGTGAGTGTGTAGCAAAAATCTTCCATTTTCACCATGCCTTGGGCTTGGATGCGGAGTATGCTGACTACAGTTATACTGTTCTTCAGTTAGCTCTTTCCCTTTCTAATTCGAGAAGTAATGCCTACAAACAACCTAGACCAAACATAACCACTAGTGACCATGTTTGTCGCATATGTAGCTGAAGGTGCATGATCTGAGGTATTGGAAGCACCATGGTGAGAAAATTCGTTGCCACATTGATCCCCCCTTCCACCTTATAGGAGATTTGTCGATTACCACAGTGTCCCCCTTTCATTGACGTGTCCCAATTATAGGCCAATGGTTTGCAAATCAATACAATATCCAGAAGCCCAGCAACTGCCCACAAGCCAAGAACGGTGATCAACATGTAAGACTGGAGGCGAAAAGGTTTTGATTCACCGAAAATTCGAAGGTAGAAGCATATGATGGATATCTTGATTAGAGTCTCTTCGACGATATATAGGAAGCTGAAGGCGAGTAACATCTAGGAGTCCGTGAGTTTTGAACTCGAGACCAATGCCAAAGGAGGCATACCTTGAGTAAGCTGCGCTGATCTACTTGAGATGACGGGTGTAATTGTGCTTGATGACGACCAACGCCGCTGATGAGAACACCTGAGGTGACTGCGTTAGTCTTGCGGTATCGATTTGTAGCATTTATGAGATACTCACATGAATAGTATAGCCCCAAACTGCCGAGTAATAGACTCTACCCCAAGTTAGCAGCTGGTCTATGCGTTGTGCGAAAACACTGAGCAGAACATCTTCTTCCTGGTTGTAGACGAACTCGGGACTATCGAAAAGGCCATCTCGAGCACTGTAAAGATCTCATACTCCTGAGATGCGATGCAACAGCAGACTCTCAATTTGCTGCTCAATTGTCCGGGGAAATTTGAGCATCCACTCGAAATGATTCAGGCAATGTATGTTGAATGCAGTGCGAAATGTTCCTTTACCATAGCGGCTAGCATAAATCCATCGTCAAAGCCAAGTGCACTCCCTCTCAGTCTTCTAGCATGAAGTCGTAGAACCACCGTGACGAGAGCAATAGCCAGGAACACCGTAATGACGATGAGAGGGTCCCGCGCTCTAGACACACTCAAATCATACCCCATCATGAAAAGCAGACGATCGGGACGTCGCAAAGTCCTCGTCCACCACAGAATAAACCCCACAGAGTAGCTAAACTAGGCTCTCGAAAGTGACGAAAAATGTAGGCTCCAGCAATTATATGGGGATGAGATGCCCGCCGGCCAGCCCTGTAGCAATCATGCTCATTACAGTCATCATGCAGGCTGTCATACAGACCCATGTTTTCCCCGTAAAGTAGAAAGCCACAAGAGGGGCACAGCAGTGTGTGAGCATGGGTCTTGCGGCACATCCTCTCATTCTATTCGCTGATATAAAAATAAAGATAAAGCAATTGGGTTCTTTTCTCCACCAAGGATCCTCATAAATTGATAACATTAAAAAACCAGAAATGATACTACTTCGACAGTTTTAGAAATCATGAAGATTGAAGATTGAAGGTTAAAGTATACAAGTCAGCATTAACATCAGACATGAGCGGGGAACACAAGGAAGCGCTCAATTGGAAGCGCTCCACAGTTCAGGATTCGAGGTTCATGGGGTTTTCACGGCTATGTGTCAGGTGCAGGAGGTCATGCCACGGCACACGGCAACCAAGCCCTGTGCCACTCGGGGGCTCTATTGGGCTATTTGATGAGTTCCAGGTGCAAGGCAAGGCTCCGAAATAGCCCGCAGGAAATTTAGGGATACAATTGGCTACCGACCAACGAAACGCTGGGAATCGAATCCTTCGAGAGCAATTTCCTACTTAGACACTTTTGAGCCGTCCCCACGATTCCTTCCTACCGCTGAGGTGTTGTGCCACGACAAATCGTAATTTGCTCAATAGTTCCTTGAATTTAATCTAAATATCGTGGAGATAACCGCTCGACCCGACACATATAATTTGAGCTATCGCAAACGCTCTTGCGCTGCGAACGTGGAAAAAGCCCATCTAAGATATCCGGTCATGCCACCCAAAAATGCGTTCTCCTAGGTCTTGTACTGAAACAGCTGGATTGAGGTAAGAACAGAAGCGGGTGCCCGCTATTGGAAGCTCAAAACAAGAATGAACAACGCATACAGAAACCAGGCATACGGATTACGTCAAAGTCATCACTTCCATAGCACATCACTTCAACTAGAGATTATTGGAAACATTAATGCAATTCTAGGGTTTTTACTAAAATCCAATTTCTTTGCAAACATAATGCAAGTGCCTTGAGGCCGCTTCCTTTGGGGCATTGTAGAGATCTCGAGACCCAAAGTCAGCGCAAGGTGCTGTAAGTGAACGAAATGATGCAACATTTGTAAAGTAATACAATCAAATACATGCTCTTAAAAAGTAGTTCTAGTACATTTCAGTGAAACCCGAACGTCATATTTTCGATTTCAGATCCTCCTTTAACCTCACAACGCCCTATCGCAAAGTTAGCACAACGCAACTTCTCTAAGTCCATCAGTCACATACCTCTTGAAAACAAGTCGCAATCAGGGTACCGTCCGCAGCAAACATATGCTGCGTAACGACGCCCCTTCCGTCCCCACTCCACGGACTCGACATCTCCGTAAGCATCCACTCATCAGCCCTAAACCGACGAGGCTCATGGAAGTAAATACTATGATCCAGGCTAACCATCATACCTACCTCCGGTCTCCCTTTCTCATTGGTCACATCTGGCTCCAATCCCTCCAGCAGCTGCTTCTCCTTTACTCGCTTGAAATACGTGTCTCGGAGTTTCATATCCGATTCCAGATCCCCTTTCTCGTCATCCTTCGACGAAAGAGGTAGATTAGTAGGCGATCCAAAACGCCAGAGTTCATGGATCCTCGTGACCGTTCCGATGAAATAGCTGTCGCTCATATATGCCAACGCGCTGAGATGGGCCTGGTGTCCTCCAGCGTTACTTATCCTCCCCCGCGCTCTAACCCACTGCCGTGTCCGTTTCTCATGCGGGTGTTCCGAATCACCATTCAGGATTTTTATCTGTTGACTTAGAAGCGGACTTTCTGCTATCGACCCGTCCGCCCACGACGCCTCCCCGGGTATATCTATATCTTTCGGTTGCTGCAGGTCTTTAGGCAACGGCACCGCGTGCTTTACCGTCTCTGTACCGCCGCTATTTTCGCGCACGAAGGACATTGTGGTTGTAAAGATTGCTTTGCCTCTTTGCTTTGCTTGTACGGTTCGTGTAGCAAAGGATTTGCCTGAGCGGATGTGCTCGACGTAGTACATAACTGGTATCTCGGAGTCGCCTGCTAGCACGAAGTAGCAGTGCATGCTGTGGACTGTGAAGTTGGCGGGAACGGTAAGCTGAGCTGCCGAGAGACATTGGGCTATTACAGCGCCGCCGTAGATGCCGCGAGCTCCGGGGGGATGCCAGAGAGGGCGTGTGTTGGTGAACATGTCCTGGTTTGGAGAGTGTCAGCTTGCCCTGCGTGAGCTTGAGAAGGTAGGGAAGGGTGGACAAACAGGCCCAATGGCCGAGAGTTCTGTCAACTCGAGGACATTCTCAATTGGTGCTTTCGAGGGATCTATAGGTCTGGGCTTGACGAGCGTAGATCTCTCTGCCATGCTGTTGGCGGGGTCTGAAATGGGCCTTCTTGGCTGGTAGATGTATATTTTTAGTGATTTGTAGCTAAAAGCAGGTCAATATGTAATATCTGTTTCTAATGGAATAAATATTCAGTAAACAGAGAGAGTGCTTCGTGCCTTTTAGCAGAAAAGACAGGACCAAGGGAAAATATTAGGTATCGTATTGATAGTCAAAGAATACTTGCCGAGGTTCGGATATTAAGGCGGCCCGAAGTGCAGTTGGTGAATCACATGTCCAACCCTTGAATATAGAAAAGCTTATGGAGGTGGTAGTTATCTTTTATTTTGGATGCTACTCAAGTAACGTTCTACCCTTTCTAGAAGAAAAGTATTAACATATTAAGCAACTTTTATTATATCTTTAAAGACACCAATCCAATACTTCTTATCCGACCCCCTGAAAACGCGAAAGCGACACGCTAAACCTTAATTAGTCAGCTTCTTGAACAACTCCATGTCCTGCTCAATCGTGATCGATATATAACCAACCTTGAAAGTAAAATTGTCAAAACATATCAGTGGAACACTTATACAAAAATGATAGACAGGACATTATTCCATTCTGCGCCGCCGCCGATACGTCTTAACCTCTTGAAAAGACGTTCCCAGTTAGGTACAACTTTTCTATCTTATCATTCCATTTTCACGATAAAAACCACCGTTATAACATGTTCATAACATGGAGAAATGTCCATGCTTCAAGATTACTATTTCCTTCTTAAAATAATAAGTTTTTCAGAACGCCCGGTTATTGATTCGTCAACACTATTCCACACTTACAACCTCACCTCGAAGCTGTCTACCATGCCCAAATTATCTGCAACGGTGAACGCCGACACGATAGCAGACAAAGTCTCGCGGATCAATGCCTCAGCAGAGCTTCGGTACATTTTCGCGGTTGTATCAAAGGCGGCATCTTTAGAGGGGAAGGCGCTCGCCCGCGAATATCATGAGATCGTCAGGCGGACTGCTAAGATTGGGCATCTTCAGCAGCAGGACCTGGAGCGGGAGCTGGGTATTGCAAACAAGGGCGAAGATCTGAAGACAGTGGGGGTTTCGTAGAAGTGGAAACCCGGCGATATTGAGGATATACTCGCAATGCAAAGTGGCAACATCCGAAAACATGGGAATATTGTAGTTTCATCACACACCACTCCAGCCGATGATAACTTCACGTCCCAGCAGTCCACAATGTCTAATCCAAACCTAGAGCAGGAGTTAGGTATTGGGAACAACGACGACAAATCACCGGAGACAGAAACTTCGAAATAGCTGAATCACAATGGTGATGGAGAGACGCCGAGGGAGCAAACTGGCAACGCCGCAAAATACGAGAAGAAAAGCGCCGTTGCTCAAACAATTTCAGCTCCAGCTCCCAAGACACCAAAGACTCAGTTCGGATCCGTGAAAACAGAAAAAGCTACAAAGAGCAAGTAGAAGAAGCCACAGCCTCCCTGGTGTGAACGTTGCAAACCCGACCCTAAAACCCCATTTAAGAGCTGCGGGCTCTGTGTCAACTGCGAGGAAGAACTGCTAGATCTAGTTTGTAACGGTTGCGAGGTTGAGTTGGAAGACGACATTTAATATGATAGTTTTGACGACAAGACGTGCTTCGACTGTAAGCAGAATAATTGTGATGATGCAGGGAAGAGTGAGGCGATGGATAGTAACGAGGAACCATTTCAGCTATAAATGGCGAGCTGAGATCGCGGGGGATGGGTGGGGGGTTTGGAAGTCTTTGTATTGATTGTAGTGTATAAGAAGTTCAGCCGTTACTTATTCTCTCATTGCCTCATATATCATAAGCTTCGAGCTTCAGCATATCAGTATATAGAGCGTTTTCCGATGCACTTGTGCTGCTCCAGCATTTTTCTTGTCACACTAATCCCCCAGACATCTAAATTGGATTTCAGCTTGCAATATAGGTCAATATCTGGAATGTTTGCTTGACCAATTGGGCAGGGAGAATGAAATGTTTAGCCAACGGTGCTTTGCAACATATAGCAATGATAATGACCCCCTTTCAATAAGTTTACTTTGCAACGCTCAAACTTCTTGGCCGATCAACGAGAACTTTGCAGTACTTTGAAAAAGCAAATAACAATAAGCTGGGCCGGAGAACTGAACATAATGTCCCACTAGGAAACGACGATATGCATGAAAATATAAACATTGGATATCAAACGAAACGAGTGGTAGCTTCTGGTAGAAATCCGCACCGAAGCTATAAACTCACAACCAAATCGTATATGTAAACAACTTGGTACCACACCACGAAAGAAGCACGCAGTACAGAGCGGAGATGGCTTGCGTATTTCGGTTAATTTATCATCACGCCTCTTTCTTCTCAAATCTCTCTAGCCCCGCAATCTATCAAGGTATCTATCTCTCTTTATCATTTCCCTGCCTATATTCAAAGCTTCGCGAGCACAGCCTCGGCACTAGAAACAGAGACTTCACGACCAGGCTCCTTCTCCGCATACACGATCTTTCCATGGTCGATAATCAAGGCATATCGCGCGGTGCGCTCGCCAGCGGTCCAGCCCAGCTTCTTCGAGAATGCTGTGTCGGCATCGCTGAGGAAGAGCTATAATTGCAGCCATGAGTCAGCATTCAGTTTATTTTTGATGGAGTTGGATATGTGGGGCATACGTACAATATCATCATCCTTGATTCCATTTGCCTTGCCCCACGCACTCATTACCCACGCATCGTTGAACGCAATGACGGCTACGACATCAACTCCCTTGCTCTTGATCGCGGGCAGGTTGTTGATGTAGCCGGGGAGGTGCTTAGCGGAGCAGCCAGGTGTAAAGGCGCCTGGGACGGAGAAGAGAACGACCTTCTTGTCGGCCCATTCTGTTGTTCTTGAGTATTAGCTTGTGTGCAGATGGAGGGGTAGTGGGGGTTGGTTTGGGGGTTTTGGATCCAGGGATTGGGCTAGCGGTCGAAGGAGAAAGCATTGGAGAGAACATTGAGAGGCCACTTTACCTTTTCCAGCATCATAGTTGATTGGGATTCCGCAAGCAGTGATCTCTCCAGCTTCCGGGGTGTATGGGACGTAGGTAAATTTGGTATCGCTTGGGATGCTATCTCCAACCTTGAGTTCAGCCATCTTGATTCTTGTGTTGTGGTTTTGAAGTGAAGTCGTAGGGAGTTGAAGAATTATTTGTTATTGCAATGGAGAGGAGAATGCACTGTTGTTGATGTACATTTGGTGGTTGAAGTAGTCAGGAACAGAGGAGACCCTAGATTTAAGTGGGGACGCTAATAGTGGGGTGAAGCTCCTGATTATCGAGCAAAACCTCAATTGCTTCGCATTTACCAATATATATTCCTAATCTGATCTCTTGAGATTTTAAAGATCCCTAAAAGGGCATATATATGTATACATCTAGCTAATTCCTGGATATCCGTTGTATTCTGAAGGCCTCGACCGCAATGATTGTTCATCCAAGATATTTCGGCCCCTCAATCGCGTCATATTGCCGAGAACCGCTTGCTCACCTTACATCGGCATCTAGAACGGGCCGTAAGCACTAAGATAATTGTGTAGTGTCCCGTGATCGGGATATGAGCCTCTTCAAAGACTTACTCATCAAACTGCGTTCAATACGAAAACGTTAATAGCATTTAGTTTTCAAACCCAGCTAAAATTAAAAACCGTTAAAACCGCCGCGGAGATGCAAGCTCTCTGAGTCACCCGAACTAGGTCCTTCTTCCCCACATATAACTAGCCTCCCGACGTCTTCTTCAAGCTCCTATAACTCTCATCACGACAAGTATCCTCCTCAAAAGACTAGCAGTTCCACTGTCCAAAACGCCTCCCCTTCACACAACCCCGAAATACTTCGTCCACACAATGGCCTCCTCAACTCAAGCAGACACCAAACCACCCCTCCCCCCCTTCACCCGCGAAACGGCTCAGATCAAGGTCAAAGCTGCTCAAGACCTGTGGAACACTCGAGATCCGCAAAAAGTCAAAAATGGATATACGCCTGATACGATATGGAGGAACCGGGATCAGTTTCTGAAGGGTACGGATGAGATTGTGGCGTTTTTGACCAAGAAATGGGAGAGGGAGAATGGGTATAAATTAAGGAAGGAATTATTCTCATTCACAGATAACAAAGTAAGTCACAGCTAGGAGAAGCGATTTTCAACCTCCAAGTAGAACTGGGTGAACAGCAGCAAGACAGAAAGAAATATAGCATCATGCTAATACGTGACCGCACAGATAGCAGTGCAGTTTTGGTACGAGTTCTATGACCTCACAGGCCAATGGTATCGTTGTTATGGTCTCGAGGACTGGACATTTGCTGAAGATGGCCGGATGAGGAAGAGGCAGATGAGTGGGAATGATGTGAAGATTGCCAATGAGGAGCGCTGGTACAAAGACAGGGTTGATGTCAACACTGTGGACATTAGTGAAAAGCATTGGTGATTGGGGTATATAACAGTTGAGTCAAGGAATTAGATGGGCGTAACTCTTGAATGGGCAAAATTCATAAGGAAAAATGTGGAAGTTCACGTGCACTTCCTTGAACTATCTACTCCCATATACGCCGCTTGGGCTGTTTTCTGCCTTATCTTCTTAGAGAACCGATTTTCTGCTTCCGTCTATTATTAAAGCGTTATTAACAACATAGATTGTCGACCCTGTTTTCCATTATTTCGAAGTCCTCTTTCCTCCTGGAAGGTCTTCCTCGGGGGCATATATCGAAAAGCCTTTTTTGCAATCACTTCATCGAACTAGAGATCTCCTCCGCATGTGCGAAGCTCAGCTCCTTCAAAGTCTCCTCCCAGATCTGTTTTGTTGCCGTTTTCCCTTCGTCCGTATAGAAGAAAGTCGCAAGTCTGCCGTTGGTATGCCACTGTCAGTCAAAGCACTCCACTCTTCAGTAAGAAAGTACTCACGGCGAGATCTCAGTATTCATAAGAAAGCATCCATGCGACTCTTTCCCATGCCCCAACAAAGCATCAACATAGGTAGCAGCCCCCCTATCCACTGGCCTCCCTGCAATCGCAAAGAACGCTTTCGCAGCTACCCCTAACACACCCTTTGCGTCCCGCGAAAGACTCGTGCCCTTCGTCAAACCTGGGTCAACCATGTTGATAACAACATCGTTGTAGTTGACATGCTCTGCCAACTCGACCAAGAAGAACTGAGAAAGGAGCTTGGACACGCCATAGCGCTCCTGTGGATCCCAGGGAAGCACAAAGGCCGGTGCAATGGTACAGCCACAGTGTAAGTAGCTGCTCATCCCCCCTGCCACTGGAGCACAATTGGCTTGCATGCTCCTCGTATTTCCCCGTAGTTCCTACGCTCTTCCAGTTGGAATTTGAGCGAAGCAAAGCTAAACATGATAGACACTGCCGGGTTTCATTTCGTTGTCAGCACGCCTGCCCAAAGTTCCCAGGCCCATGACAAGCGCGCCCGAAAAGCCATCCAGAGCCATGCAACAAAAGCAGGACGCCGGCAAGCTATTCGACTACGCTCGTGGATATCTCCTAATCGCGAAGTTGGGTCGCTTAAACAGTCTGTCTTTGAGGAAACACCAAGTCCACGGCCCACCTTATCAGCTTCGAGTCCCAGGACGGTCGGTGCGTATTTTTCTGGACTACAACTACCCCCAGGAGTCGAGCCTTACATGATTGAGGATATAGTTAAATGTATGCCCTCGTCCCACTCTTATCTTCCACCATTTGCTTCTCGAGTGCAAAGATAGGTGTACTAGCACGGAGCCTGACTAAAGGTCTCGCAGTAGTCCAATTTGATATGAATGGGATATATCCTTTTGAGATATGCCTTGATGTTCATCCAGTAGTGCGGGGCTGGTTCCCATATATGCTCAGCGATGAATGCTGCCTCCAATCGATGATGTTTTCCGTTCGTGCATTTACCGACGGGGCTTCGCCCAACCAACTAAGCCGTTTTGCACGTCTTCACTTCGCCAAAACCCTTCAAATGCTTCAAGCTCGGCTTAATGATTCTGACCTGACTTTTGCGATTTCTGATGGCACAATTATGGTTGTGTTCTTCTTGGCATCAGCTGCTGAGCTCATGGGAGACTTTGCTTCTGTAGAGAACCATGTCAGAGGCTTGGAGAAGATCGTTAATCTGAGAGGTGGGGTCCGGGCGCTGAACATACATAATAACTTACAGGTCAAGGTCTGCAGGTAGGTCTTAGCAGTCCTTTCCAATATGTTAGTGAGTCTGTTTCACTCAGATGATCATGCTGACACGATAGCTAGGGCCGACTTATCCTATGCCTTACTATCTGGACACCAGCCACTGTTTTTCAAGACAAGCATTTCATGGGATTGCTTCGTCGCGGACCGTGGCCTGATCCAATGTAGCCACCACCCTCATGACGTCAATATACACATCTTCTTAAAAAATAACATCGACGGAAGACTACATGGTGTCTTTAGAGACTTGCATGCTTTTTCCTGCATCAGCAATCTTGCCTACCAAACGACACGCAAGCTCTTACCCGAGATATACAACGAGGTAATGATATCGATCCTCTACCGACTCACTCATTTATCCTTCGATGGCGACCCTATTCAGGAAGTGTTTCGAATCAGCTTGTTAGCTGTTTCCTCTACACTCTTCATGCAACGGCAGTTCATGGATAACCCATATGCCCATCTTTTGAATCTCTATCGCAACGCCTTGTTCCAACTAAGCAATTTGACGGGAGTTGAGCTTCCGGTATCTATTTCTCTTTGGATGACGATGTTGTTGCATGTGGTAGAACACAGAGAACAGTCTCCGGCGAATTGGCTGGGGGTCTGGTTTGACAGGGTTATTTCCCATGCCGATGTCAAATCATGGCCCGAAGCTCGCGAAATGCTAAGGTCGATGGTATGGGTTGACTTTGTGCATGATCGAGTTGGGAAGTTTGCTTTCGAAGCATCCATGATAAGGCTAGGATATTTAGCAGGACGCGACCACTGAGGTCGTTCATCACAAACTGTCACTCGATAAAGCTGCTGATGGAAGCTGGCGAAACCAAGAGTAATTAGCGTTCGAATGGAGACCACCACCATAATGAGCGACTCTAAATGACAACCAAATCATTATTTCAAAATAATATATACACGTGGATTAACATATATAGTTTCTGTTTTCACCACTCAATAATTCAAAGTGTTCCATTCCATACTTCGGTGTCTGAAAGAGGATTTACCTATAGTATCGGTCACCATTCGATTGCCAGAACCAACTTTTCAATGAACGATACGAGTTATCCTTTTTCTAAGCTCGTCTTTTGCTTACTGAGACTCTCAGATAATAGCTGTGCGGACTGATTGGTAATTGATATTCACATGCCGAGGACCGCCTTTGGGGGTTTCCAGCTAATGGAAACTACCAAATTCGCGTTCACGCGACAATGAATATAAGATCTTACAATCATCACCGTAATCCCATTCACAACTTCAAAATATTCAACATTCGCCACGAAGTCAAAACTTCCAAGCTAAATACTGCTTCGGCATGCTTCTACAACACATGTCCGTTGGTACCTCTATACGAGGTCGCGTGGAATGGTGGAAGCATAGTCGCGTCCAAAAACGCGTTTACCCTGTTCGTATACGTCAAGACGAGCAGTAAGATGGTATTCCGTGAGGGAGACCGTCATCTTGTTCCAGCCTTCAATAGCTAAGTCCAAGCCTTCGCGGCCATACTCCTTACGGAACCGCTGTTCAGAACATGCTGACAAGGGATCCTCTGGATGGACCGAGGAAATTATCGTCTGAGTCTGGCCGAAGCGCCAGCCGGTGTCTTCGTTTTCGAACAGCCCTCCATCTGCGTCAAGACGTATTGTTACTACGCCGGTATCAATATCCCGCGTGACAGTGTTACTGCCTTTCTTGCCTTCGCGCAACACGACGGTCTTCAGAGCAGGGCTGTTCACCGCGGGTTCAAATGATTTGAGCTGGTCATCGAGGCAAGATCTCTGACGTATCGGAAGGTCCACCGTGCTATGAGCACAGTCAATTGTCAGTGTTGCGTTTTCAGGCGATGGCCAGACGAGTGGGAAATATGAGGTGGATAAAGCGAGACGAAGGCGGCTTCCAACACCAATGCGCTGCCCGCATTCATTTAACCTGAGAGTTACATCATAAAATCGCCCTGATTCGAGAGGTTCCAAGTCGATATGGCTATTGCGGTGAGTTAAGTTGAGCAGACCCAAGGAAATCCTTGTGGCTGATCCATTTGGTAAAACCTCGGAGAGAACACCTGCAATAAGTGCGTTTGGCTTGTCGCTGGCCAATCTAAGGTGAACGACCATGGCACCGAGTATATCAAGTGGCTCAGTAAATATCTGGCTGTCAAATACCAGTGAACCACCGGCTTCCTGACGCTGGTCACCAGGAAGATCAAAATCTATACCGAAAGGAACCCACCGGCCTGTGGCAAAGCCAACGGTTTGTGGGGAGCAGATCGAGAGTTTCTCATCACTCGTTGAGATAGAATCCGTCAGCCGCCCTGCTGCGAGACCCATAGAGCGAAGAGAAACACCTGGGGCAGGCCAACTGTTTTCCGCCACCCAATGACCAGGGCGAGAATCATAAGTGGTACGCGGAGGGGCAGTATCTTGCAAATAGCAGCGAAGTGTCGGCTCTTCCATAATGCCTGTTTCTTTTCCCTTTAGCCATTTGTCCCACCAGCGAACACACTCTTGCAAGAAGCCAATCTGTGGACCGGGTCTTGCAAAGTTAGGATACGCATGAGCCCAGGGGCCGATCAAGCCCTTCTTAGGACATTCAAGATGTTCTATCATCCGAAAAATAGCATTCGAATACGGATCTTGCCATCCACCAACCAAATAGACAGGACATTGAATGGCGCTGTAATCTTCGCAGATCGACGCGTGCCTCCAGAACTCATCCCTCCGCTGGCGTTGATGCCATTCGGTCATATAATAACCGCCAGCTCTTAAGCGTCCCAGCCAGAGGTCGCGCCACTTCTCACCAACCAAAGCAACATCCGGGGGTGCGGGGTTGATTGCGAACATAGTGGCACCCCATAAGAAATTATCGACAAGTTGACAACCCCCCATGTAATGAATGTCGTCCGTATAGCGATCGTCGGTTGAGCAGATGGAGATGACAGCTTTCAGTTCCGGTGGCCGGCGAGCAGCAACTTGCAGACCATTGAACCCACCCCACGAAATCCCCAGCATGCCAATCGACCCAGTACACCAGGCCTGGATGGCAATCCATCGAATAATTTCCAAAGCATCATCCTGCTCCTGCTTGAGATATTCACCCAGTAGAACGCCTTCAGAATCGCCCGAACCGCGCATGTCTACCCGTACGCACGCATATCCATGGGACGCAACATATGGATGGTTAAGTGCGTCTCGCTGGGCCGTCCCGTCGCGTTTGCGGTATGGCAGATATTCGAGGATCGCAGGTACTGGATTAAGTGCTGCATCTTCTGGCAGCCAGATCATGGCTGAAAGGAGAGTGCCATCGGAAAGCACAATTTCAACATGCTCCTCGATGCGGATTGGCAGTAGAGGAGAGGACATGGTAGAGAACTGGGTAGGAACAACGGGTGAGGTGACAGACCAGACGAAAAGATTCCTTTCTACCTGATCGGTGCATTTTCGCGCTTGCGGTCTTATATACGGAGCGCACAAGCACTACAATAGTAAATAGTCCCGAGATTTGAATCGTGACCCCCAGAATAATGTTACCTGCTCGCATCTAACAAGCCTACCAACTCCTGCTCTCGACGAGTTACGTATTTATAAGTTGTAACTGCCGTAGCTGGCAGATAGGCAGGAAATCCCGACAATCTACTAGCTGCACCACTGAGTAGAGAGGACCCGCGACTAGGTACGTTACAGTACTTTAGTCCGTAGCAAGGAAGATAAGGTCGGGTACATTAACGCGAGATCTGCATCAAGGTGGGGGTAAGTAGACTAGGGTCTATCTACTCCATACAGGACTCGTTGCTAGTAAGATCTGTTGCGCATGTATTGAATGCTGGAAATGGGAAAGAAATGCTGAAAAGGAAGTAATCATGGGTTTCAAGTGGCATGGTTATACGAGTACAATATCAGTTATTTTGCTAGTATCTTATCTTAGCGACCGTTCCGTTCTGTCGGGACAGATACTGTACCTTACGTGCTGCAGATCATTTCTACGGAGGTATGGTAATGAGACTACTATCTAAGTCAAGCATTAAGTGCCGGAAGCTCGCTAAATAGTATAATAGCTTTACCATTTCTATGCGATCCTTTCTTATTTGAACTTATGCTATATACTTATTTTATTAGGATAATTCGACTATTATTTGTTAGATGCCGTATATCTTATTAAATAGGCTTCGGTAGTGATGGGGCACTTTCTTACTTAGCGGCGGGCAAGCCACCCCACCTATGCCCGGATCCGGACCCGACCCCATCTTTGGGATTGGGGTGTGCCGCGAGAGACGCGGCTTATCTTCTACCGAAGTGGTCAGATTAGGGTTCGATATGGATGGCGGGACTTATCTTCGTGTCAGGAAATCTATATGTACAAGTGCTACTCCTACTGCCATGTCAAATCCATTAAACGCAACCGCTCCGCTGGCACACGTTCTCGTGGCTCCATCCTCCTATAGCCCATCGCGCTCCTACGCTTCGAGATGGCGGCATCGATTGAGGCTTCCACGCCCAATGGCAAAGATGGCGCTGTTACCAAAGAGGTCCCAGCGAAAGTAGATGAGATGGCCCTACCGGAACACGACACAGAGGACATGTTTGAAGGCACAACTAAGACAGCATACTCAAAACTCTCGACCACACTCATGGTCATCTTCTCTGCTCTGGCTATCGGGTCCGACGGATTCAACTCATCAATCATCGGGAATCTCTCTCTGATATTTGGAGTTTTGTATCCGGATCTGTCTACGGGGATGTACTCTCGTCTGTCAAATGCATTCATAATTGGTATGATTATTGGCATGTTGGGATTTGGGTACTTCTCCGACCGACTCGGAAGAAAGAGTGGCGCCATCTTCACTACTCTGATCCTGGTGGTAGGAATTGCAATGAGTGCAGGAGCAAGCGGCAAGGATGAATTGGGGATGTTCTGGATGCTGGTTGTCAGCAGAGGCATTGCCGGCGTTGGGGCAGGAGGGTAAGCTAACATCATTGACTCCTGCAGTATACATATAGCTAACGAGGTTGTTAGAGAATACCCTGTCTCAGGAGCAGGAGCCACGGAAGCTACAGACGAGAATTCAGGCGCTCGTAAACATCGCGGGTTCATATTCGCTATGATTGCTGATGTTTCGGCTACCTTTGGATTTATCTTTGGCGGCTTGGTGCCGTTGCTGCTAATCTTGTGCTTTCATCAGAACGAGGCCCACTACCATATTGTCTGGAGGTTAGCACTGGCATTGGGCGCGATTCCACCTCTCTCTATCTTCTGGTTCAGATACAAGATGGCTGTCAGTACTGCCTACAAAAAGAGCGCGGCCAAAAAGCAGCATATCCCATACCGGCTCATCTTCAAGCGATATTGGCGCCCTCTGCTCGGTTGCTCCATCGGCTGGTTTCTGTAGGTCAATTCATGCCCTGTCTTTAGACTAAATGCTTACCATCTCCCAAAGCTACAATTACATCTCGTATCCGTTCGGATTGTTTGCTTCCACCATTACCGAGCGCCTTGGCATCGGCAATTCCCTTGTCAAGAACATGGGCTGGGGTACGGTCATCAACTGCTTTTATATCCCCGGTGGTATTATTGGCGGCCTCTTGAGTGACAAAATTGGCCGTCGGCGAACAATGGCTCTCGGATTTTTTGTTCAAGCAATCGTGGGCTTCATCATCGGCGGTGCCCTTGGAAGCATTCAAACAGTTTTGCCTCTATTCATCGTCCTTTACGGCATCTTCCTTAGTCTCGGAGAGGTTGGTCCCGGTGCAACACTCATCCTCACCTCGAGCGAATCTTTCCCCACCAGTATTCGAGGCCAATGCCTTGGCCTCATCGCCGCATTCGGCAAAGCTGGTGCAGCTGTTGGCACCTCGGTATTCAAGCCAATTCTGGCGAGTTTCGGTGATAGTACGTATAAAGGCAACCAAGCTGTGTTCTTGATTGGGTCAGCATTTGCCTTGTCAGGTGCATTCACATCCTATTATCTGATCCCAGATATTAGCAACCGGTTGGAGAATGAAGATGAGGTTTGGAAGGCGTATTTGAGGGAGAACGGATATGATATCCAGTGGGGTGAGGAGGATTCTGATACTAAAGGCTTGAAGATGGATGGCATCGTAAGTTAGATCATCTTGGAATTAGCTTTGCATTGTCAATTGGAGAAAATCGAGCTATAAGTCAAGAATTTGCAACTTGAAAATCAGTAGCATACTAGGAGTTCGACCTATGCTTCCTCTTATATTCTGATCCAAAGTTCACTCACTCTGTTCTCTCATAATGTGAAGAAAATGGTAGTCTATAAGTCTGCATCTTGCTCCGATGCTGCCCCCCCCCCCAGTTGCCATGGTTTGGTAGAGCATCAATATAAAGGTTTTATCCACTAAGACAATTACGAAGAGGAAAGCTAGTCAGATTGCTATATCTCCAAGGACAGACAAGAAAGCCAAGAAGCTGCAGAGTAGTCAGTCAGCGGAGAGCAGCAACTAGCGGGGTTAAGGAAAGAAGTCACGATCCAAGACAGCGTATCCCTAGCGCGGCTGTCGACCTAGTACCCAAGAAGAGAAATCTTATAGCCGAGTTATTCGAAGAAGATGCGCAACGGAGGGAAGTAGAAGCGGCACTCGATGAGGCGAAATGGAGAGAGATCCATGAAGCAGGCGAGGTATAAATCGATCCATCTGGAGCCACATGTGCAGAGTGCAACGGATACTTTGAAAATGTCGATATTAAAAAATCATGTATCTTCTATTCAGGAGCTTTGCGGTACTATCCTGGAGGCAACCACTACCCAAGATGGGTTTGCTGTGGGAAGAAAGAGGATGATAGAGGGCAGGATCCAGGCCGATCTGGTTACAATCAGGCCGTCTGTGAAGAGTGCCGGGAGCAGGATCGAGTTGAGAGTCGAACTTGGAAGAGCAGAACTAGTAGATAGCGAATAGCGAGCATGCAAAGAAAGCGAGCACCGAAATTATACTAAAGAAATGGGGGAGTGAAGAAACATTCGGATGGGATAGGATCGAGAGTCAACAAATTCAGACATCGAATGATAACATCTGAATGTCACTTGATTTGGCAGTTATCCGTACTAGTCTTTCACCACACGTACTCCGTAGAAGATTACTAAAGAACTCATCACCTACTTAGCTGCTTGTAAAATATGATGGTTGGGAACCTGGATCGATATTTAGAGAGAAAAATTGATGAATTCAGACTGATTGAATTCATGTATCACTGCTTATTATGTAAGTGTAGACTAAGCCTATTTTGGACTTATCTTGGGCCAATCTTCGCTCGCAAAATACTAGTCGATAATATAATACCTATATTATAGTTATGATGCAATCCACTTTATTATAATATAACTATACCTTTATACTATATGACTAATTAATAGATATAGTAAGATTCCATAAGAATCGTTAATCGGGAATTTGATTCGCAAGTACCTGGGTAGGTATTATTAAATTCAAGAGTGCCGATGCCCTAGTGGGAAATATATGCGGGCCAGCCAATCGTAGTTAGAACGGAGCTACCTCGGGAGGATTTAAGCTTTGATTTAAGCTTTAAGTAATCGTGCACTAAAATGACTGGCTTAGACGCTAGAATCGGCAGGGCTTGCTTTGATGCGCAAAGGCGTTCGCCGTTCAAGGCCCCGAGAACCTGAGATATGAGGAGAGTAACACGACGATGCGATAAATATATTCCTTATAATGTCTACCTAGGTACGTAATATGCAGTGACTATTTTACAGCCGTTTTATCCCATCTGTCCCTTGTATCACTAAATCTCGGAGAAATTTACTAGAAATACCCCGAACCTTAATTTATTGTGTGGCTGAGGAAAGTGCCACTATGTGGCTAATTGTTATGCAAACTAACGACACCGCATCACCAACTTCACATCCACCACATCCATCTATCTACCCTACGACGATGTGGTCTGGCTCATCACAGACCATTCGACCTGAGAACCGCTTCGCTGCTCAGACTCCTCCGTGATGGACGCCATCTCTACCCAGTTCAAGGGAGCCAGCGTTCTTGAACTCCGCGAGATCATCGATGCCGTGGGCGCAATCTGTCCGGAGGGACGGGAACGTGCTTCAACCCTGTACCGCGACTTGGCTCCGGAGCTGAAGAAGAACAGAACTGCTCTGGAGGGCATTGTAAGGGCTCTGTCTCAGACGTGCCCGAAATGCAAGGGGGTCATCGATACATGGAAGGCAGGGGACGATACGTGGAAGACCGCAGTTGATGTCCAGAATGTGGTCGGCTACAGAAGTATATTCACTGGGAGGAAACCACCTGGATACTTGGGAATGCCAGGATCGGCCAATTCAACGCCTACAGTGAAAGTTGAGAAAGAGGCTCTGGTTGGGTCTAAGGGGGCCCCTGTGAGTTTTGATAGTGCCAACGTCTGGGATTGGTCAGACCCTAGGCATATGCCGCCTGCCGGTAGACCGCAACCTGGACCGCCACCCTTATTTCCAAACCTGCTTCCGTCCATGATGAACCCCTCGAAAAGTTTGTCTTCGAGCTCGCCAAGAGCCTTTGAAGATGGTACGCCAATCTCTGCTGGACGGGAAAGAAGACCCTACGATGATCCTAAGCGTTCCGTTTCATCCACGAAGAAAGAGGAGCCGAGATTGAAAGATCTTGCTGCAGGGCGTGTCATCACGACAGTCCGTCCCAATGTCGGTGAACGCGTTAGGTGCCAGTTTTGCACGGATGTGTGCATCGTTGAAGACGACACCTTCAATTTTGAGGCTCTGGAGGAGGAAACAATCTATCCTGTTTGCAGGCGGTGTCTGGAACAACGTCGACTTCATTGTGAGGCGTGCTGCAAATCCTTCTTTGGCATACGCGATATTGGAATGGCCATAAAATGTCGAGATTGCCTGGAATTTGAAGCGAAGCACACTATATGTGAGGTATGCTTTGAGTGGACATTACCAGAGAGGTGTCGTTATGGTGCTGGTGTAGAGGGCCATTTGGAAGATCCAGTTTGTGATGATTGCGTCCAGAAGGATCAAGCCAGGCGACGTGATAGTTTAGCCTTGAATAAGAAGCGGGGGGCAATACGAAATCAGGAGCCAAACGGAACTGCGATGCCTGAGACGCCTTCATTTTCAGGTCTTCAACATCTGGAGCGTCCGATCTGAGAAGGAAGTCGCCAATCTATTGATTCAATATTGGAAGACACTTACGACAAGGAAATCTCCCTGAGGGTCCTCCTTTTCACTGACTATATGAGAAACGACGCATCGGAATGAAGAGGAACGATATTAATGGTTGTGGGACGATATAATAAGTAGAGGAGAATGGAATAGTTAAGCTCGGTTTAGCGGGGGCAGTGTGTATGAATGTGTGTTGATAATGAGGGATACTTTGGGTAGGAAAGGGGCGGTATATGATATTCTATGCGAAGATATCCGGTGTCTAAAAGTCTGTACGAATGGAGGGCCTAATTGTATGTTCAAGGAGTACCTTGGGTTGTCAGTATCTGTATGTTAGTAATTCAAGAAATCTTCCGGAGAGTAATTAATATCTCGACCAAAGTAGGATAGAGAGTTTGGCAAATACAAGCTAGACTTTAAAAGCAGTGTGGATGGAATATCGGCGACTCAATGTTATGAGTAAGGAAGTATACTGCAAAGTTATGCCCACCGTGGCCTTTGCAAAGGAGACCCAAAATATAAGGGTAAGCCACGTTGTCCAGGTCCTGGCACATTATCAATCGACCGAGAAGCACGAGAGATTTCAACTAAACCACTCCTGAGCTTAGCATGGCTTCCATAAATTCTAAGCTATCTTTTCTCAATGTCTTTGATTCCAAGATCTATTCCGTAAACCCTCAAAATTCCCACCACAAACGCCACGCCATGCCATGCAGACTCCTCTCCCCCAATCCCAATCCAAACCATCAAGCCTCCTCCCCCTCCAAAACCCTCGCCCTCACAATCCTCACCTCCTCAACCGGTCTGTCCTCCGCCGCCGTCCTCACAAGCCCCATCCTCTTAACAACCCCCAAGCCCTTCGTAACCCGCCCAAAAATCGTATGTTTCCCATCCAACCACGGCGTGGGCGCCAGCGTGATAAAAAACTGGCTTCCGTTCGTATTAGGCCCGCTATTTGCCATGCTCAGGATCCCCGCCCCGGTATGTTTCAACGAGGCCGATATTTCGTCCTCGAACTTCTCGCCGTAGATGCTGCTACCGCCGCGGCCGGTCCCCGTGGGGTCGCCGGTCTGCAGCATGAAGTTGGGAATTATGCGGTGGAAGAGCAGCGTGTCGTAGTAGCCGCGGGACGCGAGCGTGGAGAAGTTCGTGCAGGTCTGGAGGGGGAGGGGTTAGCTTGGTGGGGGGGAAGGAGAAGGGAAGGGCGGACTTTTGGGGGCGTGTTCGTGGTATAATTCGACGACTATGGTACCCTGTAGATTGCATTATATGTTAGTGATCTCATCTTTATCTTTTCTATGGTATCTTGAACTAACCATTGTGGTTTCTAACGCGATGTTGGTCGCCATTTCTAAGGATGGACTTTGCGCCGGGCGAGAGAGCTACAGTTCTAGAGGTAATTGGATTGCAGATCTGGATGCGAGTTGATTTCTAGTGAGCCTCAATCTGAATGAAGAAGTGCTGTAGTTGAATTGAAGCTTGCACAGTGTAATATCTAGAGAGATGTTCTGGTGTTGATAATTTCTGCGGGTACCTGACAAGGCTGAGAGACGCTAAAAGTCCTCTTCGCCTCGCCGTCTTGTACTGTGCCCCTGCCGCTTACCTCTAAACAGATCTCCATCTCCATCGCCTCTTTTCCTAAATCTCACAACCATTTGATGCTGAGCCTTTTTGTACATTACATAGGTATTGAGCATTGAGCGTCGTTTATCCTTGTTCATGTTCGAATTACTGGTACGGTAAACAGTCCAGTAACTAAAGTTTTCTCGCCACCTGCCTCTGTTTGACTACCCTCCCAACTTGAAAGCCTCCCCAACGCATCACGGCCTCCCCAGCAATATGGATACATTATTCACCTTCTTCCAGGGCGACAGTCCGGCTCTTCAGTACATTGGAAGCTGGAGTGCATCCTTATGGGACAACAGAGACATGTATCAGATGCAACTCCATCTCCTCCTCGCCTCTGTCTTCCCCATTTATATCGGCGCCCATGCCGCTCTTCGACGACCCCCTTCAGCACTTGCACCTAAGAAACAGCCGTCTACAGATAACGAAGACGACGAACTCGATTTGGAACCTGCCATTGAAGGTCTCCGGCCTTCGGATGCCATCATGTTTCCCGTCCTAGCCAGTATCACCTTGGGCGGTCTCTATCTTCTCATCAAATGGCTCAAGGATCCCAGTCTTCTCAACAAAATCATGACTTGGTACTTCTCGACCCTTGGAGTCTTTGGCGTGGGAAAGCTGGCTGGAGACTCACTCCACGTGATATCAACCATCATCTTTCCATCTGTCTGGTCAGACGGCAAGCAGCTGTATCACGTCAAGCCAGACTTCCAAATCCAAGTCACGGGTGAAAGCTCACGATCCCAACCGCTTCGAACCATCACAGATAAAAAGAACCCCCTACCGTCCTTCTTCTCTAGCATCCCCTTTGCGGAATCCCTGAACACTATACTCTGGTCCACTCGCGCTCTCCTCAAAAACCACTGGATATTCCGCGGTTACCTACATGGCCTTCTGAACACCAAACTCCGCGTAACCTTTCACGACGTTGCAGGTCTCACCCTCGGCCTCGCCGCAATAATAGCCTACAATACCAGCGGCAAAGCCTGGTGGCTAACCAACCTCATGGGATTCGGCTTCTGCTACGGCGCCTTCCAAATCATGTCCCCAACCACATTCTGGACCGGTTCTTTAGTGCTAATGGGCCTGTTCATCTATGATATCGTCATGGTCTTCTATACGCCTATGATGGTCACTGTTGCCACGACCCTCGACGTACCCATCAAACTAGTTTTCCCCGGCCCGAAACGCGGAGGTATGTTGGGGCTTGGGGACGTGGTGTTACCGGGGATCATGATGGCACTTGCACTTAGATTCGATCTGTATCTGCATTATGCGCGGAAACATTTGAAACAGGGGGAAACGGCTCGTTATGTCGAAGCTACTGGTCTCTGGGGCGAGCGCTTCTGGACGTCTGGCTCCAAGGAGAAGAATGTTGCTGATGCGGCGAGGTTCCCCAAGACGTACTTTAAGGCTAGTGTTGTGGGGTACGTGATTGGTATGCTCACTACGCTTGTGGTGCTTAACTATTTCAACCATGCCCAACCGGCGCTGCTGTACTTGGTTCCTGGGGTGCTGATTTCGCTGTGGGGCACAGCGTGGGTGCGGGGCGAGATTCAGTTGATGTGGGGCTATACTGAGGATGGGAGTTTGAATGATGATCGTAAAGAGGGTAAAGAGGAGCTCACGAAGGAGGAGGTGGAGCAGAGGGCAGATGAGAGGGAGAAGAGGAGGAGTAAGGAACATGCTCATCACGTGTTCTTGTTCTCGTTGTCGGATCCGAAGCATGATTTGCCTAAAGCAAAACTTGACGGGGAAAAGGAGGAGTAGTCATTTGAATATGTACAACTGCATGGGTATTCGGCGTGTGAGCTGCATTATACGCTTCAAAATCTTGAAATTTTGAGCTCAAATACAAAGTTTAACCTTACCTGCTGTTCATGAATCAAGTGGTAGTCATACACCTAATTCTTGTCTAATAATAGCTAAAGAATACTCGTCTTGTAAACCCATTGAAAGATACCGAATCGGTGGGTTTCTTCCAAGCAAGTACATCGGAATGTACACTCTAGTCCTCTCCCATCCCCAAAAATATCATTTCAGTCATCCTCTCAACGCCATGTCATTTCTCTAACCCACCCACCACCTTTTCCCATTTCCTTTCCTTTCCTTTCCTATACTTTCATCCCATCACACCACAGAAAACCCATACACTCAAACTCAAGACCCAAAAGCAGCAGCCGGATAAACCCTCTTCTTCTTCCCACTCCTCGAGCTACTCCTCGAACTCGCCGCACTCCCCTCTTCTACTTTGGGTTTCAAGAACCCACTGCCAGTTGCATTGGCATTCCCGAGTACGTCTTCCGGTAAATCATTCCATTCTCTTTCAGGGCCCCTATCTTGAAAACTCCGCGCGTGGACTAAACCATCTGGTCTTATGCCCTTTCCATTCCCGTTCACCCCAACCTCTGCTTCCACTTCCGCTTCTGCATTCGCCAATGGCTGAAGTTGAGAAAGCTGTGTTGGAGCTGGAGGAAGGGAATTCAGGTAATCACTAGCCAGTATTTTCCTCCTTAGCACAAAAGCCGTATCTGGTTTAAGCTTGCGGTAATATCCCACAAGCACGTTTTCTTCGCGGTGGAATCCGCGTTTCGTGTACCATTCTAGACCTTCTTGGTTTTGCGTCCATACATGTGCGTATACGCTCTCGATGCGCGCGCTTTCACTGCGGAATACGGCGCATGATATGATTTCTTTTAGGACGGCTGTTGCGAGGCCTTTGGAGCGGTAGGGTGAAAGGAGGGCGAGGGATTGGATGTATATTTGGTGGGTTGGTGGGGAGGTGGATGGGGGATGGGGGACGGGCATGGTTCGAGACGGCATATTATTCCGCCTATTACTTTTGGCGCGGTGGTGGGGGAGTCGCTCCAGGTTATTGTGCGGGGAGAATGATGGTATGGATGATGGGGGGCGCAGTGAGGATGCTGGCGTAGAAGGAATCGGGGTAGGGGATTGGTAGGAGGAGGGAGTTGATGCGGCGGAGGGGTTGGATGTGGTGTTCGGTGATTTGGGAGATGGTTGCTTCGGCTGGTAATGCTGGGGTTGGAGGTGGAGGTGGAGGTGATGATGTTGGTATTTGAGAGGTCGAATTTGGAGGTTGTATGTGTGGTTGTGGTTGTCTTGTAGCTGTCCCAGGAGGTGGTGCATAATTTGGGGACCGGGGCTGGAAGAAGGATCGTATTGAGGGCTGTGTTCTCGATTGCGGGACGGGAGATGTGGAATTGGCGTCCATCTCAAGAATTTGAGGGTTGTTTGAGCTGTGAGAAGAACCGAATATCCAAATGTTTTTGTTCCAGCTGGAGAGGCAGTTTTATATTGCAGCCGTCTATTATACTTTCTGTGGTGGCTTCCTTAACTCGTATATCACATCCACACCACATCATCCTAATCCTATTTGAGGATCATCCCTTTTGGAAGGCGGTCAAGAGATCTCCACCAAACCTTATTTTTAGCGGTGGCAGAATCAGCCGTCAACTGGCAGCTTCGGGTCGGTTTCAGGAAATACATCGAAAGACAACTCCCCTTTTGATAATTCATGGCTGTTATTGCTGCATCTGTCCCCCAATTTTACTTTCTTCTCGACAATGTGTCCCGCCTCTGAGTAGAACACTTCTAAGATGCTCAGGCACGTCGATATTGCAGTTCTTTCTTCTACAAGTCCTCGCATTGCATTGCAAACGTTCCCTGTCCAAAACCCCAAGATTAACGTAGCCTTGACACCAACACATTGCCCAATATGTCGGCCAACGATGCCACACATAATGGCATAATTGTCCCTGCGGATGGTCAGAATACAGATACCATGGGAAAACTAGTAAATTTGCTCCTTTCCCATTATTCGTAATCTGTTTGCCTGGGCAAGTTCACGAAGCTAATCTCTCTGTATAGGCACACGCAGTACTGGACGATATCGTGTATAACATAATCCACGACATAGTGCTCAAAGCACATCGGGAAGAAAAGATGGCAAGGGCATCGACTGCAGCTACTCTTGTCGAGCAAAAAGCTATACGAGAAGCACCTCTCTCGGACGATCCCACAGTTTCGGCTACACGACCTCCCATAAAAGTCGAGACAGAGACTGCGATATACGACAGCGGAGAGGTGTATATAAAAGGCAATCCGATGAAAACTACGACCGAAATAATCTGTCCGAAATGCCATCTCCCTCGACTTCTCTACCCAACCGACGGTAATGGGGCACGCAAACCAGAACCTGGGGTAGAATACTGCAAGAAGCGTCCCTATATAGACAAACCTTACCACGACATCTACGGGCAGACCTTCCAAATGGAAGGGCCCGGCCGCGGCAAGAAAAAGAAAGATATGGTCAACCCACTCCTGCAAACCGCCAAAGAAGGCACACCCTCGGGTAGCCAAGATTCGCCCAACCCGTCCCCCCCACCCGGCGAAGGGCCCCCCAAACCCATCTCCTTTCCACACGCCAAATGCCATAACTGCAACACCTTTCTCCCCATAAAACGCATGAACAACCACATGATAAAATGCATTGGGGGTGGGGGCCGTGACTCCTCCCGTCAAGCGCTCCTCAAGATCCAAAACAACGGCACCTCATCCAACAGCCAAAGCCAGAACGGATCCACGCCGCCCGCCTCACGAACCGGAACTCCAGCGCCATCCCCAAACAAACGCCAAGCGGGCGACGACTTTGATAGCGATTCAAGCCCGCAGAAGAAGAAGAAGGTGCTTAAGAAGACGGCGGCTACCAAGTTAAAGGCACCGAAGATGGCGCGGAGTAATAGTCAGATGTCAAGCTCGAATTTGAGTTTTGAGCAGAAGGCTCCTAATAGCGAGGACGACGATGATGGGGAGGATGAGGCAGATGGCGAATATGGGACTGTGGTCGTTGAACCTACGAAAAAGAAAGCTGCTGCGAATAAACCCCTGGGTAAGAAAATGAGCAATGGTACGAATGGTGGTGAGAAGAAGAAGAAATGGTTACATGGCGGCAAAAGCGGCGTGAAAGGGAGTGCAGGAACACCGATTGTGCCGGGCGCGACGCCTACGAGTCTAAAACTGAAAATTAAACCAGGTGGCTTGGAGACGAAGGTCTTGCCGCCGAAGAGTGTCGTTCCTGCCAAGACGGCGCCGAATGGCAATGGGAATGGGAAGAGCAGAGCGGAGTCAGAGTCAAGTCAGACGTTATCGAGTCCCAATTAAAGACCAAGCAAGGAATCAGGGCTGCGGTTTGGACTATCAGTAATTACACTGATCTTCTGAGTGAGCGGATCGAAACACGCGTGCATGTATCAAGGAAAGAAAGCAAGAAAGCGAGCGAGCGAGCATTATCAAACCTGGGGCTTTTTTCTTCTTCCAGGGACAGAAATATTGCATGGATTGGCGTACATTACAGTCAGTATCTTCACATCACAGCACATCATTCATCACAACACCAATTGTACTTCACAAGAGAAAGTGTGTGTGTGTGTGTGTGTGTGAATGTGAGAAAGATTTCTCAATGGAGTTTTGGGGATAAATATACGATTGGATGGCATTTGGAGGCGTTGTACATATTGGCGTATTCATGTCTATTTGTCAGTTAGTAGGTTGGTAGGTAGGTAGGTAGTAAGCACTTCATTGCTAGAGAGAGGGGGTGGGGAGGGAGGGTAACATCAAAACGAATCGAGAATTATTTACCTGTGTTGATTTTGGGGATAAGGATTTTGGGTTTGGCCTTGAATGATGTGGTATGTAGGTATGGCTTTATGAGATTCCTCTTGTATATACCTAGAGTGGGTACTATAGCTAGCTGCTGTAGGTACCTGGCTAAGAAGTGCTCGCATGCAACCTGCAATCCAGGGGTCATTGTTGCTGTTCTAGTACATATCACCTAAAGCGTGTTTCTTCTTGGGAACTGTTGTTACATAATTAATCAGTAGGTCTTTAAGTCATAAATCCAACAACGGCCACGGTATGTACGCCTAGTCTAATGAATATACCACGCTTCAATAGCATACCATATACAAATGGGAGAACACCCGCACAACGATTTCTTTCACGACGTCACAGTCCCCGGTAAACTCCAAGCAACCAAATCATCCCTAACAGCAAACTCATCCACCTCCCTGGCCGACATCAAGCCTGACCTCCCCCTCTCACCCCTCTCCTCACTCCCAAGCGCGCTGGACGCCAGACTACGCGCACTCTCGCGCTTGCGCGCCAACGTCTCCTGACTGCCATCCCGCTTATGCAGTGCGCGAAGCGGGGGTTTGGCACTCCGCATCGTCTGTCTGGATTTCGTGCTTGTGTTGCTGTGGTGTCTGGTGTGTGTGTGATGGTTTTCCGAGGCTACGTTGGAGATGGAGGATGAGGATGTGCTGGGGTTATTGTCGTGGTCGTGGTCGGGGTCGTGGTGCCCTTTCCAGCCGTCGCCGCCGTTGAATATATCTTCGACGCACTGGTCTGCGGGCAGCTCGCCGGCTTGCGCGGCCCAGGAGGCGGCAAGGGAGCGGCGGTAGATGTCGTGGAGTTCCGTGTGGTCGCGGGATTTGTTTAGGTTGGGGAGATCTAATGAATGAATAGTTTTCTGTAAGTATAGTAATATATGGGGATTTGAACAGGTAGGGATGGGGATGGGTATGGGGATGGAAGGGGATTGGGAACATACGTCCAACATTCTCCTCCACAC